AGCAGTGTAATTTTCTCACAGTAAACTTATTTCGTCCTCTTTTAACATCCGGACTTGGTACACGACCTCGGAACACGATCTCGGCTTAATGTCTTGGGCTTTTACTCAGACTTCAAAGCTCCAAATCACTTTAATTCATTCCATAATGCCTTCATAGATCGGAATTACTCCTACAAGGCATAAAACACATATTTAGTGCAAAACACTAGCGATTAAAGCTCAAACTCAATTAAAGTATAGTAACTTAGAGTGTAATAAGCGACTAAAATATACAATTATAGTCTATCATCAATTAAACAGATAAATGACGTGATAAATTGCCAAACTAATTATGGGGAGTGAAACCGGACTCAGTAATAGCTTTAATGTAATGCCTGCCTTTGATCCTAGGCTCGTAATAATGAAGAACTGATGAACAATAGTAAGAACTTTAAGTAGAAGAGAAAATAAGAATAAAATTGCTTTGGTATACGTGTTACAATGGCTCTAATGAATAGTCAGGTTCCCTTTTTATATATTAGGGGGTTTAACCATAAGTACAATTCCATAAAAGGTAAAAATCTTCCATTTTACTAACCACTGATCCCCTGCCGATATATGCCGAGATTCACGCCGTGACACCCAGCTGGGCATGAATAACACGGCCCTTTGTTGGTCGCGCTCTATTATCTGATAACGTTTTCCGAAGTTTAGGGATTCGAATCGGACCTGGGGGCGTGGTTCTGATTCTTCCGAAGGCAGGTGTTTGCCTGTACCTCGACTCAAGGGGCTCCTTGCCTCTATTCTGATTCCTCACATTTACATTTCTGTTCCATTTACTTCATCGAGAACCAAAAAATGTTCAAAGGGTTTGGTTTCACCCCTATACAATTATATTGGGTAAAGTATAGAGTTTACATGTGGACATCCCTCGAGTAAACACATGGCAGTGGCGATAAGATGGAGATGAGTCAGCGGTCAACCAATATTGGATACAAACATGTGACTAGCACTATGTGAATTTCGAGGACACATAGATCGAAGGCATAAATTTGAAATCACACCATTCAAAGGACATTGGTTGAAGAAAATTACATAAAAGGAACAACCGTTACAGAAATCTTAGCATTTATTCCTAACATTATACAACCATCAATCGGGGTTTTATTCATCTTTAAGAGGGCAAAATTTAAGGATCTTATCTCCTTGAATTTAATTATAAATAGCAGCATTTGTAATGTAGAACGTAGTTGATCTTTAAACCGCAAATGCTCTATCAAAAGCGATGCAAATTACATAACCGAAAGTGGTTAAAAAGTTCATTCGGATTTAGTATTTGATGTAAATACTAAGTGTGAATAATCTTTTAGATGATAAGCTTTCTACTCCCTCCCACAAATGATATGTTCACGTATAGTTTGGATTGTTTTTCCTTATTGGTAGTCTTATTTAGGGCCCGTTTGGCCATAAAAAAAATTCCCTCTTTCGATTTTTTTTCTTTCCGAAATTTGTGTTTGACCATGAAATTTTCGATTTTGATTTGAAGATGAATTTTAATTTTTTTTTTTAAATTTAAAAAACTTCAAAAAGTTATTTTTCAAAATTTGCACTTTAGACCATTCACAAAAATTCAAAAAATAGCCCAAATAGGATATGGAGGGTATAATATAAATAATTGTATACTAGATAAGTTGAGATAAACTTTTATTTGTAATTTTAACCTTGGATTGTTTAAAAGACGTTAGGAGAGAGCCTTGGAGAAGGGCATCTTTGTCATTTAGTGTTTATCTCAAAATAAATCCCACTCTCAATATGGGATAGAATAATACCCCATTATGGGATTAATTAATAGCGAAATTTGCTAATTTCGAGTTCCAAAATTCAACCAAATGCGGGTTGACATAATTTCGCATCTAATTACCAAATTACCCCATTAAACCAGGGGCGGAGGAAGAGTTTGGTTGTCGGGTTCATCTGAACCCAGTACTTTCGAGGCGAAGCATAAATTTATCTGTAAAAATTCATTAAAAATGCAATAAATGGTAGGTTTGAATTCATTACTTTAAAAATACAGTGGGTTCAATGCTAAAACCTTAAAAATTGAACCCATAAAATTTAAATCTTGAATCCGCCTCTGCCTTAAACCTTACTTGTTTCTTTAATGGTCTTTTCTCGGCTAATTTATTATAATTCATGTACAATTTATGTGTTGATATTCAAATATCAAGTATTAATTTCTTTGTTTATAACCAACAATAAGTGTTGATCCGAAAGTTATTCCTTTACATATTTTCTTGTGGCAAAATGAGATAAGAGATATGATTAGACTATAGAGAGGTTATTGAAAAGAGTGACAAAATGAAGAAAAAAAATAAACAAAAAAATCCCATTCCCTTCTGACCAATAAATCAATCCTACACCGGAAATTAAATGGAATACCACACTGCCCTAAAGGAACTACCTCCAAAACAACCGGATATTAATCACCCTCAGTCAAATAAACCAATCTCCTTCAAGGACAAACTTCTCACCAATGAACAAGAGAGAAGTTTCTCAATATCCCCACCTCCTCTGTATTTATGTCCATGGCCGTTGATACCATTGAGGATGAAGGGGAAAAGACTCCTGAAGCCCAGGAGAATGAGTACTCGATCCCAATAACTGGAAGATAAATAACGTATCTACTATCCCTGGAGATTTTCAGTAACAATCAAACTCCAAGGAAAAAAATCCTCCACCAAATTCTTAAACGTAAACTATCAGATCTTTGGAAGTCTTCAGAAGCTTTCCCTCTAATTGATCTTGGTGAGGACTATTATACTGTGAGATTCAATAAAGAAGAAAACATGATAAATGCTTTACAAAATGGTCCTTGGTTTATCTTTGGGCATTTCTTATCAGTACAACGCTGGGAACCCAACTTTGTACCTTACTACAATTTGGGTACGCCTGCCACAGCTCCCCCACAGAGTTTTATGATTAAAAAATTCTACAAAAAGTGGGTAATACAATTGGAAGGCTACTCAAGGTTGATGCTTGCACATCAACAACTTTACGTGGGCGTTATGCCAAAATCTGTGTAGAGTTACCATTGAACAACAGGTTAAATCCAACGTGTGGATTGGTTTCCACAAACAACAAATCCTATACGAGTGTGATAGACTTTTATGACTAAATTGTGGTCACCTTGGCCACTCTAATGGCCAATGCACAAAAATGAAGCAGCAACCAACAACTTTAACAACAGAAAAGACAGATGAAGAAGGAAAAGGGCAATGCAGCTTTGTGTACGCGCAACAATCCAAGACCAAGGAGGAGTGGAAGACAATCACTTTCCACAAAGGGAAGAAAAAACTCATGATAAAAGAAACTAAAGAATCTTCGGCAAAGGTAAGTATAAATGCCAATATCTTCGATGCTACTACAGGTAAGTTCCTAATCTCTCAAACTCTTAACTATAAAGTCCGTCAAAAAATAAAACCATTTGGGGGATAATAGACCTGGAAAAAAGACAATCAAGATAATTAATCCACAAAAGAAATAGATATCATCTCAAAAAACCAGTTTTCCTCTCTGATGGAGCAGGACATGGTTTTGGATGACACCCAAAATCAGACATCCGGAAAATTAAAAGATAATAATATCAAAACTAAAAAAAATTCTTGCAAAGATAACTCATTAGGACATGTTTCCTCCATTACAGACCCCACCCTAAATTACTCCCTCTGTAATTCTAAAGAAAGAAGCAACCTATCTACTAATAAGCCCCTTAACACACTAAACCACTCTACTAACGACCATAATTATCCCATGCATGCCACAAATGACAAAACCTACATGTCAAAGCAAGACACACCCTCACTCCAAATGGTCAATGCTAATGAACACGTACCCCAAAACCAATCTATTCCCCCCTTCCCNTGATTCTGCGAATTTTCAAGACACCAACAATACATCAAAAACCTCTATAAGATCTTCCTCCTTAATAAAAAATGCCAAGACTTCTTATCTCCAACAGGAGACGTTACAGGCTCATACAAATCCTTTATCTCAAATCGTTCCCAAATTATAGCAAACCCAACACCTCCAAATCCACAAACAACCAACACTCCCACAATCTTCATTCAACCCCCAATGCCGGAGAATCATCAACCCTTATCCTGGGTGGAGCTAGGTCTAATGGGGCACGCCATCTCCTTCTACGTCATGTTGAATGGGAGAGAAACATTGATTGTACACCACAATTCTCACTATCTCACACAACTAATCTCGGAGGGCATATGGTTGTCAATGAACAACTATATGAATCACATCTGGTTGAAAAATATCCTCCACCCAATTGCACCAAACTTAACTCCCAATAGAAGTCAAACAATGATGGGAGAATGGAATCTGCCACCCCACTTTGTTCCAATCCAAAATTCTCACCTGGTGATGGACCTACCATTCTTCACTCTGGAGATTGCCACCACATCAATCCAATTTTTATACCATGGGGTGCACATGCAACTCAAAATCCAACAACAAATGCCCAACATGCACAACCAGTTCCTCACCAAAGCCAATCACACCCCATGCACCAACAAACTTACCTCACCAAGAGGACATGATGGAAGAAGCAGTGGAGCCCATCAACTTAATCCCAGAATCAATAATGGAAAATTCAAATTTCGACGAGGTAAAAGTGTTTATCTTCATGGAGAGGCAAGAATATAGGCAAATTCTCAAATGTCCGATGACACTTTAAAGTTTACAATGGACATAAGGCCTCCAACCGACCCAACTGTAGGGCAACATGCAATGATACTGGTTCCCTTCCAGAGAAGGAACCTAGTGCATGCACCAAGGGTGCTAGAGAATGGAGACCTCCACAACTGGAACCTCAACATAAATAGGGTTATCTTTTTCATAATATGCAATGTGCGGATGGGGGGAGAGGGGACAATGATAACTTCAGATTGCATTTTAGGGAGATGATTGACACACATCACCCTTGCATGGTTACACTCTTTGAAACAAGAATGGACAATCATATGTTTCTTCTGAATCCTTTTGGATTCTCTGACATGATTGAAATCCCGACTAATGGTCAATCGGGTGGTATGGTGATTCTCTGGAACCATGATCTTGTTAATATTCACAGCTTCGTACGCAGGAGTCGAGAAATCAGTGCTACCATTGAGGTAATCCCCACTCACAATACTTGGTTATTTACCTCTATATATGCTAGTACTAAGATTAGCCATAGAAATGAAATGTGGGATAATCTTATCAACATGCATGCTAGTTATAAGGGTCCATGGCTTGTAGGGAGGATTTTAACGATGTTTTAGATTCAAATGAAAAATTAGGGGTAACACTGTTAACAGTAATCGCACTAAGCATCTACCACTGCCCTGCCCATACCTTTTATATTAGAAACTTATTGGTGTAGGCACCCTAGTTTTAACAACCTAGTTGAAGAAAGTTGGAAAAGCTCTAATTATCAAGAATCTTCTAACTCCTTCCTTGGTAGAGTTAAAGTATGGAAAAATAATATTTTTGGTGATATCTTTAGGAAGAAAAAAAAAATTCTTGCTAGGCTAAAAGGTATCCAAGAATCAAAATATTACCTTAATTGTACATTCCTTCAAGAATTGGAACACTCTCTACAAATTGAATACAATAATTTCCTAAAAATTGAAGACGATTACTGAAAACTTAAAGCTAGAATCTCTTGGGTTTAAGAGGGTGTTTCTAATACTAAGTTTTTCCACATCATGGCCACTAACAACAGAAGGAAGAATAAAATCATGTACTTTAAAAATGATCAGGGCAACTTGATCAATGATCCATTGGAAATTCTAAGTCATACTCAACAATACTTCATCAACACTTTCACAACATCTCATGAATCAACTAACTGGTTGAGTATCCACCAAGATCCCATAAATTTCTATAAAACTGACCTAAGGAACTTGAACAACCTCTTAATGCCTTTTGAAGTCACAAATGTTATTTTCTCGTTCAAACCCTTTAAAGCACCAGGGTCGGATGATATTCACCCTTTCTTTTATAAAAAATACTGAAAAATAGTAGGGCCATCAATTATTAATTTTTGCATGTAAGTATTCAGAAACAATTCCCTCCTAATGAATATTAATAATACTTATATTTGCCTTATTCCAAAAAATTCATAATGCAAACAATCTAAAAAACTTTAGACATATAGGCCTTTGCAATACAATGTACAAAGTAATTACTAAGATTATTGCTAACAGAATCAAACCCTTTTTAAATGATTTGATTAGTCCCTTTCAAGCTAGTTTTATTAAAGGGAGAAGAACTAGTGATAATGCCATCATAGTGCAAGAAATCATCAATCAATTCAAAAAAATAAAAGGGAAAAAGACTAATATGATTCTAAAATTAGATTTAGAAAAGGCTTTTGATCGATTAGAATGGTCCTTCATCTATCGTACCCTTAAATTCTTCAATTTTCCACAATCCATCTCTAAATTAATCATGAACTGCATCTGTACAAGTAAGATTACTATTCTAGTCAATGGTTCAATGACTTAATTCTTTAGCCCAAGCAGAGGTACGAGGCAAGGTTTCCCCTTATCTCCTTATAGTTTTATCTTTGTATGAAAATATTTTCCTGGCTTATCTCCCATCAAGTAGATATTTGCCAATGGGACCACATACATCTTAGTACTCGAGATCCTGGCATATCCCACCTATTTTTTGCTGATGATCTTACCCTCATGGCTATGGTTAATGAGAAACACATGCAACTCCATAAAAAATAGTCTTTCTCTATTTTGCAAATTATCAGGGCAAAATATTAACCTCCAAAAATCCAAGATCATCCTTTTTAAGAATTGTACCCCTAATCTAGCTAAGGAAGTAGCTAATGTCTTCAACATTAAAATAGGTAACTCTTATGGAAAATACCTAAGGTATCCTATCCTCCAGAATCAACCAACTCACAAAGATTATCAATTTATAATAGATAACATGCAAAGAAAATTAACTTCATGGAGAGCAAAGTTCCTAAATATTGCTGGAAGAACAACTCTCGCAATCTCTACCCTTAACTCAATTCCAAATCATGCTATGCATTACACTTACCTACCAACAAAAAATCTTAAAGCAAATAGACCGTATTCAATGCAATTTTATTTGGAGCAACACTAGTGAATAAAAAAAGATTCATTATGTAAGCCGGACCAATATTACAAACCAAAAGATCAAGGAGGGTTAGGATTAAAAACAACCAAACCCAAGAATTTAATTTCTCTAAGCAACCTTGCGTAGAGAACCTTAACTAATGCCCCAACATTATGGTCAAGGCTTCTTATTCACAAATATGCCAACAATAATCCAATAATCAACAGCTCTTTCACTTAGAAAAGTATCCTTAAGGGGTGGTCGATTTGCTCAAAAGGTATCACATGGCAACCCAGTAAAAACTCACACCTTAGTCTTTGGTACTCCAATTGGATTCCAAACTACCAACCTTTATGATTATACATTGAAGGTCCTCTTAATAAAGGAGATTCAACCATGAAGGTTAAAGACATCATCTCCAAAAACCAGTGGGATCTTTCTAAAATCTCCTTCCCAGTACCTAAGGATATTAAAACAAAAATTGATCAAATTCCTATGCCCTTAAAAGCTGGGAGCAATGACACCTCGATATGGAACGTTAACACAAATGGTTGTTTTACAAGTAATAATCGTGCTCAAAATTACTACAAAATACCATCAACCATCAATATGACTTCATGTGGTTTTGGAAGCTAAAATGTCCTAATAAAATTAAGTTCTTCATTTGGCAATGCTTCCACAACAGAATTCCATGTCGCCAATACTTGCATCATATTGGCATTAATATAGACAACAATTATCCTATGTGTCATAAGGAAGAAGAATCCATTACCCACATCTTCATAAGATGCCCCATTGTGCAAACCTTATGGGATAATCTAGAAATCAGGGACCTCACCAATTCTAACTCTCAACACTAGTTGCTCCACCTAAAAAACTCTAGGACAAAATTTAACCCCCCCCCCCCCCCCCCCCCCCCCCCCCCCTCATATTGACTGGCAACAACTTTTCCCCTTTATAATTATAATATGGGGGATATGGATTAATAGGAATTAGAACAACTCCAACAACACAACTCACACTCCATCACTCCAAAGAATCTAAATCAATCCCTAGAATTCCACTTCATGACTTCAAACGTTAAAACCATCAGAACCATTCACATTAACTGGCATGCCCCCTAAATAGGTTGGACAAAACTTAATATAGACGGGGCCTTTGAAAACTTGAAAAATGTGCATTCAGGGACAACACTGGTAAATGGATACTAGGATTTCAGAAATTCTGTCATGGCCTATTCCCTCTACATATTAAATTGCTGGCTAGCACACATGTTCAAACTATTTCTATTGGAAATAGAAACAGACTCAATATAAGTGATAAGCGCTATTAACAACGGGCATGTCATACTAGCTAATCTAATTCACTCTTGCTGGTCATTAATGTGCCAGGAGAAAGGCCTTCTACTTCGGCATAACTTCAGGGAAGAAAATGCAATTGCGGATTCTCTAGCAAAGGAAGCAAAAAAACAAGAAAACAAACAATATTTGCCGGGGAGAACAAAATTATTTGTTGCACCGCCGTTTTTTGTGGATCAAATGCTTACCAAGGATATGAGGGAGGAATGCAAATCTTTAAAACAACTACCTATTTCTGTTTGTACTATGCTTAGAACCCTAGGAAACCAAAACATTGCAAGTGATATTAACTTTTTGCATGTAGGGCCGTCTTGCCCCAATGTCATTACAAGTGATACTATGTTATGTGATATGTTGAATGATGCTTAGTAACTAATATATATAATCGTATTACTACTAAAAAAAAGATTGAAAAATAATTAAACAAGAGTTAGTTTGTGTTTGACCACTTTTTTTCCAAAAAATATAATTTTAGGGCCCGTTTGGCCATAATTTTTTTATTACTTTTTTTGGTATTAATATTTGGCCAGAATTTTTTTAAATTTCACTTAAAGTTATTTTAAAATTTTTCGAAAATTTAAAAACTCCAAAATACTATTTTTCAAAATTTTCACATCAAATCACCTATAAAAATTCAAAAACAACTCTAAATTGTATTTATGTCCAAACACAACTCAAATTTCCAAATACCATTTGCACTTGATTTTTTTTTTTTACTTTTTCTGAAATTTCGTAATTCTTATGTCCAAACGCCCACTTAGACATTCAATTACAAAAAAGACATTTACATCTTAACTTTACAATTAATATCATTTAAAAAGCTTTTTAAATTATTTATCATTAAAGACTTTGATTAAGTTTTTCATTTTTAGTTAATTAACATTTTCCATTTTTTGTCCAAAAATTTGATGAGATTTACGGAAAGAAAGAAGTGTTGGAGATAATAAAAGAGAAAAACCTCGGTGAAGAAAGTAAAGGAAAAAAATTATTTGAATAACTGGATTTCTCTTATAGAAAAACAAATTACTAACTATTAGTCAAAATCATATTTCTTTTTAACTAAATACCTTAAATTTCTAAAAAAAGTAATATTTTCAGAAAAAAGAAGTTCATTACTATAACCTTCCAAAAACTTAGCTAAACAGCCTATATAGATTCTCCTTTTTCATACTCCTATTTGTTTTTTTTGCCCAATTATTCATTCCTTAAAAAGTTAAAAAACGAGTTAAGTTAGTATTTTTATGGAATTTTTACACCTTATAGAAAACCTTAGTACCCTATTTATTTTAAATAAATACCATTTTAAAATATTACATCCTATAGATACCTTTTATACCTTATAGCCAAATATCCAATTATAGTTACATCTTACATTTAAGGCACCATATATGCTAAATAATATTTCTCTCTCTCCTTTTTAGTCTTTTCTCTCACATAATCACAGTAAAATTGACTAACCACGTTCTCTCTCTTTTTGCATACACTTTACTCTTTCTCCCTCAACCCACGATTCATACCTCTCCTCCCACCCAAATTCTCTAGTTCTCCTCCATTATCACTCCATTACAATCGCCTAGGGTAAGTTTAATTCATTGATTTTGATAGACGAAGAGCAATTGATTCAACTGTAGCGGCTTGATTCTGCTTGGTAGTGGTCGTTGAAGTAGGGTTCACAGCTTTTGCGTAATTCATGGCTTCGTTTGTGGGATTTGAGGGCTGGAGATTGTTTGTAGTTGTTGTAGGAGGTTGAGCAGATGTGTTAAGGGGCTGACCAACCGGAATTAATGGCTGGCCGCCGACCGGCGAAGCCATCAGGCTGCTTCTCTCTCTAGATCGCCCAAATCGCCTATTTGTATTCAGTTGTATTCGAATGTATATTTCAGTTGTATTCACATGTATTCAGTAGCATTAATTTATATATTTTAGATGTATTAAAAAGTTATGCGTATTCTCTTGTATTCAGTTTTAATCAGTTGTATTTAACTATTTTATTCAGCAGAAGTTAGTTGTATTTTGTTGCATTCAAGAGTTTTATTCAGCTGTATTCAGTTGTATTTTGTTGTATTCAAGTGTTTTATTCAGATGAATTAAGTTGTATTTTGTTGTATTCAACTGTATACAGTTCTACTCAACTGTATTATTCATATGTATTTCTCTTTATTCAGCTATAATCTTTATTATGTATCTTTCAAATACAGATTAATGAGGGATCGTTTTAGTTCGTTGAGTTAAATTAGAAGAATATCATGTGATTTGATTTCCTTAGTTCATGGAGTTAAATTAGGAGAATATCATGTGATTTGATTTCCTTAGCTCGTGGAGTTAAATTAGGAGAATATCATGTGGTTTGATTTCCTTCCGTTTTTAACCAGTTTAACCTTCTGTATTTAACGTTAATGCCGCTTGAATACAGCTAAATACATGTCAAACTTAGCTGGAATTTCAGTTTTTACGCCTATTTTTTTGGTTGTATTAATGAATACAACAGCTTAAATATATAAAATACATTGTATAAAAACATAAAAGGTATTTATAACACGTAATATAGCAAAGAGTATCTATAAATGACTAATTAGACTTAAAAGATGGTGCTTTATGAAAAATTCCCTAGTATTTACCCTTTCTCAATCAGACAGATAGATTTTTCCCAAACTCGTAAATCTTTGGTACATACACTAGTCAAAAAAGGTCCCCGATTTTTTTCTTTTTCCTTTTCAAGACTCCGTTTTTCTTCTCCGATTCCCAAAATAATAATTCAAACTTATCCAAAACTCATCGAAATTTAACCAAACTTTATGGATATGCAAAAAATCTATCATACAAAATCATTAGAATAATTAAAATTTGAGTTCGAGTCCGTTTACCCAAAAGTCAAATTTGATCAACTCTTTCAACTTAAAAGCTTCTAAAATGTGAATCATTCTTCCAAATCAATCCCGAACCATTCGAAAACCGAAACCAACCATATAAGCAAATGATAATACATAATATGAAGTTACTCAAAACGAAGTTATTAGTTATTACAATCCCTTAGTCAAGGGTCTATCGGAAACAACCTCTCTACCTCCTCAGGTAGGGGTAAGGTCTGCGTACACATTACTCTCCCCAGACCCCACTTGTGAAATTATACTGGGTATGTTGTTGTTGTAATCCCCTCGTGTTTCGAGAATCAAACTAATTATATTTTAACTGTAATTTTTTGATATGTTTTATATTTTAAAATATTAATTATTACTTATAACATTTATATGTAATTTTTAAATATATAAATTTTATTTTGAAAAATTAAGGGATCGTTTGTTAGGTTGTATAAGGATAATATCGAATAAAATGTATTAGTAATGTATGAGTTAGCAATGCAAATATTAGTTATGACAAGATTATTTCTTATGCACCAAACTGTCCTTTTTTATACGTTCAAATGCATAATCAAAATAAAAAAATAAAAAATATCACATAAATTTTTCTCGTAACACCTCGCTTTCTCCTTAATCAGAAGTCTTGAGTTCGAGCCTTGGGTATGAAAAAATATTTGATAGAGAACGCTTTCCTCCGAATGAGGTGCTACACGGTGCAAATTAGAATATAATCGGTCTCCGATGCGATTACACAGAAACCAAAAAAAACTCCTTGCTTCCTAAAGTACCTTTTCGCTGACAAAAGTAATTCTCGATATACGCTCCAAAAGTTTCCCTTTTTACCTATTCCTCTTTCCTCCATTATTTGACATTCAAATCTTACAAAACCCTACAATTTCTCTCTGAAAATCTCCGTTTTTTGCTGCATTATATATAAAATTACAAAAATTGCGACTATTTGTTTGCCGATTTTGAAGTAAATTTTTGGTATGGATTATAATTTGAAGTATAAATCGGTAGATGAACCATTACCATCACAACAACAACAACCTCCTCTTTATAGACAGCAGCATCAGTCTTCAACTCTTACTTACTTCACTCAGCAAGCAATTCGTGGTCTGTTCCTTTTCTCTGCATTTTCTCTATTTTTTAATTTTTTTTCTGTTCAATGATCAGTTTTTATAGTAACGGGAAGGGAAATCTCGGTTTTATTTGTGTTTGCTGTTAGCTATATTTAGAGAGATTGTAGTTAATTAAGGATTCGGTTAAGTGTATTGCTTTATAAAAATAGCAGCCCGATGCACTAAGTGTCGGATCTTAGCTTGCATTGTACTAGAGGCTGTTTCGGTGCCTTGAACCTGTGACTTCAACTTTTACCGTAAGTATTGTTATATAAAAAGGCAGCCTGCTACGCTCGGGTCCGGGAACGGCCCCGAGCTGTTGGGTATGAAATCTTTACTTTGCATTCTACAAGAGGCTGTTTTTGTGGCTTGGACCTGTGACTTAGGGTCCATGGTTGCAACTTTTACCTTTAGTATTGTTGTATAGTTTAGTTACTCTAATAAAGTGCAAATAGTTTATTAAGTAAAGAGGGTGATTTTCAGGAAAGTTGGTGATATGTGCTGGATTCAGAAATCTTACATTGAAAGTGCTGTGTGAGGAATAAGTCTTAAGTGTTTCATTAAAGATTTAATTTAATTTTTGGAAAATTTTAATTTGGACAATTAATTAGTGGAAGGAAATGATCTGTTTTGAAAGGTTTCAACTTTTCTGGAAACAATAAAACCATCAAAGACTATTTTTTTTTGAACGTTCTTGACATTGTTCCATTTTCAAAGCAGTTGCGTTTGGATTATTGGTAAAATGCTTGTTGTATCCAAAGAAGAGCATTATTTGCTATCCCTAAAAGTCTGGAATCACTCGTTTCTGAAAGTGTTTTCACACCCCGAACGCCCTTTTTCCTTATTCCGTAATCATGTTTTCTTCTTTACTATTTCCTAATAAGTATGACTCTCCTAAAGTATTTGTCTTACCTTTGTGAAGTTCATTTAAGAGATATATCGACTTTGAATCGTCTAACGTCCTGGAATTTTCTGTCTGCATAAACCAAAACAGAATTGAAGCGGATGAAGTGTAGTTACTTGCTAGATATAAATTTCTAAGTTTGGCTTTTTCATTGCTCTCTGACTTCTATTGGCTGAATGCTCCTGCATTGTACAATTTATGTTTGTTTCATTGTTCATTGAGACTAAAATATTACTCTTTGTGATGTTTATCACAAGTTTCAGCTGGCTACATGGCGCCTCATTCTGGAAACGCACTTGATCATTTCCAACACCAATCCGCCAATTTGCATGAGGCAATGAGGAGAGAGATTGAGAATCCCACCATTATGCGTGAGGCAATTATGAGAGAAATTGAGAAGGAGCGTATTAGAGAGGAGATTATTGCAGAAGAGATGACTCGAAGGCGCATTTTGGAGTATGAAGTAAGAAGAGAGCTCTTGATGGAAAGACAACTAGCAAAGCTGAGTGGAGAAGGATTTCCTCCTTTTCCTTCACCTGTAATGAGTTTTTCACCGACGCTTCCATTCTTGAAGCAACAGAGTGATGCAAGGTGCATAGAGGAGAGAATCACAAGATCACTTGAGGGGAGGATGGGAAAGGAAATATCAGTCTCTGGACTGGGTGCAAGAAATGAGATCAGGAGACTCGATATAGTACCATTTGAGGAGCGGATTTCAGAGATTCCTTTTCAGCAACGAAGTGTGGAACCAAAGGTTTCTGCTTTGAAGCCTGTATCCCATAGTGCGGAGCGAATGATTTCTGAATTGCAGCCCTCTTTGGAGCCTAGCAAAGAGAAAGACAGGATCATCTTGCTGGTCAGTTTCTGTTCTTCTTGTTCATCCTGCATATGTTCGTATTTCATTTGCTTTCCTGAATTTGAGGGTATATGTGATTTTCTGATCTATTGCCTTGTGTTGTTGGATGTGTTTCTATTTGAGGGATTTTTAGTCTACCTGGAATCTAGTTTCAGCATTAATGCAGTATCTTTTCTTGTGCGGCTTGCAACTTGTGTGCCCTTTCACGTCAGAAGAAACATAATCTTGTACATGCATAAAACGTAAATTAAAGTGTTGATGGATTCAGATGCTATTTGAAATTAGTCGAAGATGTGAAAAAAGATGTCCCTACTGCACAGTTTTGATATCCCTTGTACGCTTATTATAATTGGTAATGTTTTCCTTAATCTTTTGTTTTTTTCTCCCTTGAGTGGCAGGAGTAGTTAGATAGCACTGTTTATTCTGTATACAATTCAAGATGCATTGCTCTTGATAAAAACAATTCAAGATACATTGCTAAATTCAGTCAATACATAAAATCCATCTTTATGCTTTAATACCGGTTTGTAACTAACATAACGGTTTGTAAATAACTTAAGGGTCTCTGAACCAATCCAATCCTGCCGATTGCAGTTAAGCTTAGGACTGTGTTCATATACTTATACATTATCTTTAAGTCCATTCTCTCATTGATTTTTGGTATCTCTCTCTCTCTCTGTGTGTGTGTCCTTAAATTTCCCTTTTCCTTGCATGCTTACTCCTTTATTCAGCAGTAGAGTCTTAATAGGGTCCTTGTTGTGCCTCAAACATGGCAATCTCTTCTAGCAAGAATGAGGATGTAGATCAACTCTATTCACCTGACAGTGGTATAAATGTACAATAGATGTCCTTGCTTATAACTGTAATGAATTTTCCTTGAATCTCTGTTGGCATTTGGCAGGAATAATATTTTTTTTAATCAAGTAACAAAAATTTCATTAATGAAGAGCCTACAACAACAACAACAACAACAACAACCCAGTATAATCCCACTTAGTGGGGTCTGGGGAGGGTAGTGTGTACACAGACCTTACCCCTACCCTATGGTAGAGAGACTGTTTCCAAATAGACCCCCGGCATCCTTCCCTCCAAGAACTTCCCACCTTGCTCTTGGGGAGACTCGAACTCACAACCTCTCGGTTGGAAGTGGGGGTTGCTTACCATCAGAACAACCCCTCTTGTCTCATTAATGAAGAGCCTAAATGCCCGTATACAAGAAGTATAAAAAAATAGAGAACCTCACAGCAAAATATGGTTCTTGACAAAAGACACCCAGACTTCTATGCTTAAAGGAATCTCGTGGGTGCACCAAAACATAATAAGGGAAAAGAGGATACTCCTCAAATGAACTAATCCTTTCTCTATCCCATCAAAAGCTCTCCTATTTCTATTTATGTCCCCAAAAGCATATCACCCACTCTAAACCCTCACAATGTGGCTGGAATAATCTAAATGACCTTGGTGAATCTTCAGGACCCCCAAACCCCACTTGTGGGATAACACTGAGTATGTTATTGTGAATCTTCAGGACAGATTGCGGTAACCTAGTTTTGTATTCTGTTTTAGGAGAAACTTTTGGTCTTTGCATCTATCATCTCAACTTAGAATTGCTAGTCCTTTTTTAATTTAGAGCTCAACTTTAAAGATTTTATAAAGCTAAGGTAGCATAAAGTTATTATTATTTTCCTAAAAGACTATGTAGTCTTCCACAAACTCTACCAAGGAGGAGTGCTGTGAGAATCCCGTTGATTCTCCTATTCTCTTATTTGGTTTCCCTTCTCGTCCTCTCAACAATGTGACGAATATGCCACGCTTCCACTTTAAGTCGAGTAACTGATCGCAACGGACTCAACCTAAGGAAGAGTGAGCGCTAATACTTCTACCCAATAGTGGTATCGGGGTCAATTTTCCACAGGGAGCTTCAATTTGGAGTTGAATGTTTGTATGGTCTAGGATTATGTTTTAGCTCCTAATTGATCTTCTAACATTTTCGGTTTTCTTTTGACTATCAACTACAATTTATCAACTACAAGTTTAAAGCTAAGTTAGGCTAAGATATTGATTCTAAGTTGTATGCAATATAGAGAAAGGCACTAGGGTCGTGGCATGTACCTAGGTGGTCAACTAACGGGTAGAGATTCCTAATGCAAGAATGATAAATATGGGACTTATGCTATAACCGTTGCACTTTTGTACCCACTCTCACACCTCTTGGTAGAGAGAGTGATTTTGCCCAGTTGCCTCTCTCGAGACCAATTAAGTAGGCCAATTTGCCCAAGCAACTTATGATTCAAGTTGGGTAATTACTCTCTCGAGGTTTAACCCGTTAATTGGGACTACCATTCTCATGGGTCCATCCCAATTCCTTGTTGGAATTAATCTTGGGGTCATAGACTCTCTTTCTCAAGAAGAGTCAAAACTCACTAAGCTAGACTTAATGTTTGCAACCACCAAATCTTAATGAAAACATAAGGTTAATCCAAATAACAAATACCCAACATCATTCATGCACTAAACAATCACACCCATTAATTACCCACACTAGGGTTGAGCCACAACCCTAGCTAATAGGTTTAGCTAGCCATAATAGAAACAGAAATTGAAGAAATAGTAGATGAAATTGACATAATAATTAACTACAATGTTAATCTACTCAAATCCATGTTAATACTAGAAGAAATTGCCCAAAATAGGCTAAAACCATGAAGTCTCGAGTTCAACTACTATTTGATAAAAAACCAAAACTGAAAAACTGCACCTAAAAAGTAAAATGTTCTATTTATACTACACA